CCTAAATGCACAGAAAAGAGACCCCATGGAAGCAAAATCACCCTTATTTAGAAACATTTACCAAAGAAGGACACAACAGCCATTCCAAAGAGTAGAGATGAATTTTGACTGTTATGAGGTCAGTCCTCTACCCCAAGCACCCATTCGATGGGAGGAGGCAAGCTCTGTTCTCAAGAAGAAAACCAAATTATAAATTTACATCATAGATAAGCTATAAGTAGAAATAACAACTGTCATTGTGGAATGCTTATTAAATGCCAGGGTTTGTGCTAAATGTTTACAAGTATGATTTCAGTCCTAGCTATGAGGTTGGTATCACTATAATCCTCATTTTACAGATGTGGAAACTGAGAAGCATTATCATTACATACTTTGCCCAAGGTTGCAAAGGCAATTTGGCGTCCAGCTCTGCATTCTCCACCGTAGACCATATATGGCATGTTACAGAACAGCTTGGTGTGATGGGGAAAGAGTCGACCGTTATTGTGCACAACAGGAATTTTAAGATATGTGCATGTATGTGTGCCTATCCTTTTAAGCATCAGAACACTTCCCATTTATCTCTCTCTCTCTCTTTGTGTGAGGGTGAGAAACAAAGTCTTACCAAAAACCCTATTTTATAGAAACAGATCAAATCATAGCTCTCCTGGTTGAAGACAGGCAAAGGCTCTACACCCAGGCCCACTCCTGCAGCCCCTCCTTTACCACAACCTGCCCCACCTTGGATGCACTCACAGGAAGTGTTTCCACCTCTGTGGTCTCTGGCCTCACTATTTCCAATCCAAATCCAGTCCCTGACCTCTTCCCTCCTGGGTTAACTGAGAAACTTCTCCCCAGTTCCAGCCATGGATGACAGGGGCCAAACATGTATGTGTCCTGGAGGGGAATGGCTCTGGGCATGAACATCCTTTGATAGATGGCAGAATATTTACAACGAACTTTATTGAGCACCTATAATTGCAATTAGTTGAAGGCAGCAAGGGGAGAGGGTGCGTAGAAAGTGGTGTACTAGAGAATTCCAGTAGAATTGTCACCCAATCAAGTGGTGTCTGCCCACATGCCACTGAAAGCCAATCACTGAAGCACATTGTCTTTGCAGTGGAGAAAGAAAGTTTAATTACAAGGTGGCCATGAGAGAAGGTGGGAGATTTGCATTTCAGATCCATCTTACCCACAGTGAGGAAGATGGTGCATTTATGGAAGGGGTAAGGGGCAGTGCCAGGCATGGGGGATTGTGATTGGCTAAAGGGTTTGAAGGCATCCCTCAGTCATCTGCTCAGCCGCAGGCCATCTGCATGTTCAGGGGGAAGCAGTGTTAACAGGATCTGGAGGTGGAGCCCTCAGCCCTCTGATGTTAAAAGTCAGACATTCAGGCAAGCTCAGTAGAAATGTCTGCAGGCTCAGACAGCCTAGCCCAGTTTGTGTTGGGCCAAGCTAACCTCAATTATCCTGAAAAGAAACCTTATGTACACAGCTTGTGATTTCTATGCCAGAGGCCTTACTTAAAGGGCAGATAGGAAGAAACAGAATGAGAGGTTAGTTGTGGAAATTGAAAGAATGAGCAAATTTCTTTTATTGGTTATGAATATTCATAAGACACAAAGCTGATTGTCCTCCCTCATATCCTAGATGTGAAGGCCAGATCCATACTGGCAACATGCCCATTACCACAAATTGTGTTTGTACCCCGTCTCCCCACCCAATTACCCCTAACCTCCCTCCCCCTCCTTCTTTCCCTCACTCCACTTTGTATCCCAAGGTATGTTCTCTCCCTCTGCAAGTCCAACGCACCACTGTGAGCTTTCTCTCCTTCCTTCTTTCTCTCTTAGCTCCCACATATAAGTGAGCACAAGCAGTATTTATCCCTCTGTGTTTTGCTTATTTCACTTAACATAAGTTTCTCCAGGCTCATCCATGTTGTTGCAAATGGAAGAATTTCATTCTTTTTTAGGGCAGAGTAGTATTCCATGGTGTATATATACCACAATTTCCTTATCCAATCATCCATTGGTGGACATTTAGGTTTTTTTTTTTGTCTTTTTCCGTGTCCGGCAACGGATCGCAACCCTCAGTGTCGCCCCCGTA